GCCACTGCAGGAGCCAGCCTGGTGGACGCAGAGCCCTGAGGTCATGGTAGACAAGAAAACAGGCACCAGTTATTGTCCAAGAATACAGGAACAGAGGTAAGAGTCCCCAGTTCAACAGCACCGATGCACGACATCTGTGACCGACGAAACTTACCACAATAGGAACTCCGGTGAATAGTCAAATCGGAACATATTGTCATCATCTTCTACGTAATTCTCATTTAACAACGTGTATAACTCCTTGAGCTATAAGATAAAACAAGTGTCCTATCCATGGTGCTCAGAATCAACTCAGAAGCAACCTGTGTGAAGGCAGGAGTTGAATTTAAGAGGTTTTTACTCACTCACCACTTCGGCATTACTCAAGTCTAAAGTGTCCCACATAAAACCCTGCGGCAAAGAATATGGTTCTTGGCGAACGTTGTCTTTATCTGGTTCAATTGCTCCGTGAGATGTTATGACTTCATCTGAAAAGGGAGAGAAAGAGAAAAAAGAAAGGCAAGAAGAGAGAATACTTAATGACAAAGTATTCTAACCATCCAAAGTGGTCAGTGACATAAGCAAATGAGACTGAGGGCCCTTGGGTTTCATATAGTCTCTTTTTTTTTTGAGACAGTCTTGCTTTGTTGCCCAGGCTGGAGTGCAGTGGCACAATCACAGTTCACTGCAACCTCCAACTCCCGGGTTCAAGCAATTCTCTGCCTCATCCACTTGAGTAGCTGGGATCTCAGGCATGCACCCCCGCACCCCGGCTAATTTTGTGTTTTTAGTAGAGATGGGATTTCCCTGTGTTGACCAAAGCTAGTCTTGAACTCCTGATTGCAGGTGATATGCTCGCCTCAGCTTCCCAAAGTGCTGGGATTACAGGTGTCAGCCGCCTGGCCTGGGTTTCATATAATCTTTAAAAATATGCTATTACATTAAGTGCCTTTGAACTGAAACAAGAAAGCTAGGTAGTGGTGTGAAAAAATTGCTGTTTCATCAATTATTTTTCTTTTCTTTTTTCTTTTAAGATGGTGTCTCACTCTGTCGGCTAGGCTGGAGTGCAGTGGTGCAATCCTGGTTCACTGAAGCCTCCAACTTCTGGGCTCAAGTGATCCTCTTGCCTCAGCCTCCTGAGTGGATGGGACTAGAGGTGTACACCACAGTGCCTGGCTAATTGTTTAATTTTTTTGTAGAGATGGAGTCTCACTATGTTGCCCAAGCTGACCTCAGATTCCTGGGTTTAAGTGATCCTCCCACCTGAGCCTCCCAAAGTGCTGGGATTATAGGTAAGAACCACCATGCCTGGCCTATTTTGTCAATTAAATAAAAGGAGAGGCCAGGCGCAGTGACTCACATCCCAGCACTTCAGGAGGCTGAGGCGGGCAGATCACCTGAGGTCAGTGGTTCGCGACCAGCCTGGCTACATGGTGAAACCCCATTTCTATATAATATAAAATATAAAAAATTAACCGGGCGTGGGAGTGGGCTCCTGTAATCCCCAGTATTCCGGAGGCTGAGGCAGGAGAATCACTTGAACGCAGGAGGTGGAGGTTGCAGTGAGCCGAGATCGTGCCATTGCATTCCAGCTTGGGCAAAAAGAGTGAAACTCCATCTCAAAATAAATAAACAAAATAAAAGGAGAAATCCTTTGTCATACAATGACAAAGATGATATTACAAGACAAAACCTTCTCTGAGTCTCAAGGCCTACAATGCAGCCTTATCTACACACTGTCCTAGGCATCGTAGGTTTCACATGACAGCCTTGGGAGGTTTGCTCTTTTAACTGCATTTCCACAAACTGGGAGAGGCAAGGGCTGCAGTGACCTCTGCCCCCTCCCGGCAAAACCTGAAAATAATTTCAAGACTGGTTACTTGTCCCCATCTGAACCCGTAGCACAGTCCAGGCCATCACAATTCCTGGTGATTTCCACCAAGATGTCTTTTCCAAGTCATTCTCTGCAGAGCTTCCTAACACAGCAGGACTGAAACCCAGGCTCTTCCCCACGACTGCTGCCTGCCTCTCCACACCCTCCCTGCCCCCTGCTCCTAGTGATCTGGCCATGCTGCCCGGGGCTGGCCTTAGCTCAGGGCGTTCCCTCAGGTTAAGGCCCTCTGGTCCCCAAGGGACTGGCCCCTTGGAATTCGCAACAGAAGCTACGTGTCACATGTCAGTTTCTTGCAGTAGCTGTTCCCAACTAAAGTCTTTCTCTACCTCAGTAGGTCGCCCCTCCACCCCTGCCTGGCCACCTTTTGTCCTTCATTTCCACCACTGTTTCCAGCTGTGTGCACTGGACAGTGTGGGGCATTTAATAACAGTCAACAGATACCTGCAGCATGAGAAACCCTCAGGGCCCAGTCCTTCCATCACGGAAGCTTACATACATTTTTAATACTCTAGGCCGGGCACAGTGGCCACGCCTGTAATCCCAGCACTTTGGGAGGCCAAGGCAGGCAAATCCTGAGGTCAGGAGTTCGAGACCAGCCTGACCAACATGGAGAAACCCTGTCTCTACTAAAAATAGAAAATTAGCTGGGAATTGTGGTGCATGCCTGTAATCTCAGCTACTCAAGAGGCTGAGGCAGGAGAATTGCTTGAACCCAGGAGGTGAAGGTTGCAGAGAGCCAAGATCACGCTACTGCACTCCAGCTGGACAGCAAGAGCAAAACTCCATCTAAAAAAAAAAAAATACTCTAATGGGCTGGGTGTGGTGGCTCACGCCTGAAACCCCAGCACTTTGGGAGGCCAAGGCAGGTAGATCACCTGAGCCCAGGAGTTAGAGACCAGCCCAAGCAACGTAGTAAAACAGCATCTCTATAAAAATATATAAAAGTTAGCCAGGTGTGGTGGCATGCACCTGTGGTCCCAGTGACATGGGAGGCTGGTGTGGGAGGAGCGCCTGAGCCCAGGAGGTGGAGGAGGCTGCAGTGAGCTATGATCATGCCATGGTACTCCAGCCTGTGTGGTAGAGTGAGACCCTATCTAAAAAAATAAAACAATAATACTAGTAATGTTTCAAATGTGGGGAAATTGGCTATTTTTACTGGGATAGAAATTGAACTAAAATAATTGGTATCAAAAGCTCATGTCACTACCTGATACTTATATTTTAAGAAGAAAAATATTGGGCTGGGCGCGGTGGCTCAAGCCTGTAATCCCAGCACTTTGGGAGGCCGAGGCGGGTGGATCACGAGGTCAAGAGATCAAGACCAACCTGGTCAACATGGTGAAACCCCGTCTCTACTAAAAATACAAAAATTAGCTGGGCATGGTGGCGCGTGCCTGTAATCCCAGCTACTCAGGAGGCTGAGGCAGGAGAATTGCCTGAACCCAGGAGGCGGAGGTTGCGGTGAGCTGAGATTGCGCCATTGCACTCCAGCCTGGGTAACAAGAGCGAAACTCCGTCTCAAAAAAAAAAAAAAAAAAGAAAGAAAAATATTACTGCATAGATTTCAAATCTGTGGTATGAAACAAATGACATATGTGACATTAACTCTCTGTGTTTTTCTTTTTTTTTTCAGGTGTGACTCCAGACAGGATCCAAAGAGGAGATTTCCAGTCTCTTCTCTGGGTTTTATGGAGACTTACTGTACCCTTCTGTGTTAGCCTCTTAAAGCACTGGGTCAACCTTAAAAGGCACAGGAAAGGGCGTGTGCTTGTCTGTTGTTCATCCAGCTTTGTTTCTGGGGAATAAAAAGGGAAAGCAGAAAAGCATACCTAGTTTAGGTACCGGCTGCGTGTCCCAAAACTGGTATCTGTGCTTCGCAGCCTCCTCAATGTTCCTGGCTGGGCCCTGGCATGCGGATAGCAGCTCCATTGCTCTCTGGATATCCTGCAACTTCTGCATTGGGACACTGGGATTCTATGACAGCAAAGACAGACACACAGAACATGAGAGAGCAGCTGCTGATCTTAAACTCGGGCAGATGCCCGTGGATCTGCCTCAGAGACTACAGTCCCTAAACACTAACAATCCTCCGCCAAGCCCGGTCAAGGCCATGGGCTTGCGTGTTACACATGAAAATAGAAGCAAAACTTCTGTTAAGGCCAACAGTTGTAGAGTTTCAGTGGGGCTCTGGCAGTTTGGGGAATCTAAATGGAAGCATGCTTTGCTTCAGTTTCCCATCCATCTACAAATGGTCCCCAGTATTATTCCTCTGGGGAAGACGTGCAATGCATGCATTACTGTCATCCAGCAGCCAGGCAGCCACGAGACTTGGGGGCACTGTCAGCGTAAATGCTCTGCAGAAGCAATGAGGGGAGGAGGGAAAGAACTTCTAGAATGGAAACACAGGGATTCTACAACAGCAAAGACAGACACACAGAACGTGAGAGAGTGGCTGCTGATCTTAAACTCGGGCAGATACACATGGATCTGAGAAGAGAAGAGAGGTGAGGGGAGGAGAAGAGGGGAGGGGAGGGGAAGGGAACAGGGGAAGGGAGGTGAGGGGAAGGGAACAGGGGAAGGGAGGGGAGGGGAGGGGAAGGGAACAGAGGGGAAGAGGAGAGGGAAGGGGTAAAGGGGAAGGGAAGGGGAGGGGAAGGGGGAGATTGTAGTGAGCTGAGATGGCACCATTGCACTCCAGCCTGGGCAACAAGAATGAGACTCTGTCTCAAAAAAAAAAGAAAAAGAAAGATGGAAGGAAGGAAGGAAGGCAGACAAGCAGAAGGCAGGGGAGAGAGAGAGGGTGGGGGAGGGAGGGAGAGCGGTGGGGAGGGAGGAGGAAGGAAAGAAGGAAGGGAGGAGGGATGCAGGGAACAGGGAGGGAGGAAGGGAGGAAGTCAGAGGGAGGGAGGAAGGAAGGGAGGGAGTGAGGGACGGAGGGAAGGAGGGAGGGAGGAAGTCAGAGGGCGGGAAGGAGGAAGGAAGGGAGGGAGTGAGGGAGGCAGGGAGGAAGGAAGGGAGGGAGTGACAGAGGAAGGGAGGGAGGGAGGAAGGAAGGGAGGAAGGAAGGGAGAGAGGGAGGGAGTGAGGGACGGAGGGAGGGAGGGAGATCTGAACTCAGTGCTGAACTGGGATGAAAATGATCAAGAAAGGAAATCTCTCACCATGCCCCTTCCTCCTGGCCACACCCTGCCCTTCTCCTTACCCTCCTGATCTCTAGACACAATCTCTCCCACCAGAAGGATGAGCAATTTCCTCTGTACTTCAGATCCTGGGCAACCATAGCCTGTCATTCCCAACCCAAGTGTTTGAAACTGGACTACTTTTTAGGTAAGACAGCACCTTTAAATTCTAAAGTTCCTTTCTGAAAGCCAATACTTCTGCAGCCTCTTGAAGATTCCCCAGTTCTTTTTTTTTAACTCCTCAAATAATGTAATAATATATGGAACACGACACTACTTGAAATGACAGGGCAGTGCAGAGGACTGAATATGGAAATCAATGACATTTTTCAGTATGTCAAATTACTGAGATATTATAGAACGCTGATACCATGCAAAGAATATTCTTTGCTGTGATTCAGAAAGTGGTTAGAAGTTTCAGAATCCTTTGGTTTTGCTGTATGTCAACACAGGGTGGACACCGTGGAAAGGTACAACCAACCCTTAGAAGTTTATAAACAGCAACTCCGGACTTCTGTTCACTTGGAATCTGAAATCTGTGGTCTGGAGCAAATAATTTTACCCTGGGAAGCTTACTCGTCTTACACAGCACAGAACAGGGTTTGTTTCATACAAACACTGTGCAGGACCCCAGGGAAACAAAGTTCTGAAGTGTAATTGGAGGCAGGTGAAAGTCTTCTTGTCTCTGCTTGGAAGTCTAACAGCACAATCCAAAATGGCCACAGGTTCTGTAAGCTGTTTATCTTACATTTGATTAGCACCAAAATCATAAAGGTCCTACCTTAATGACACATACAAATTCCACAAAATACTTTTCCTGTTCTCCTTATTCCATCTTTGGATGACTTCTTTTCCTTGGGTGTCTTTTAAGTCTCCAACATTAAAAGGAGCAAATTTCTAGCAAAATGAAATTCACGTGTATCTGAACTCCAACAACACAATTAGATGACCTTACAATTGAAATAAGAATTGAGATCACTGCATAGTTCGACTAATAATGCTTAACTGTGCATTCATTTAGCTTAACCTGGCAAAGCTGAGGCCAATCTTACAACAGTATATCTACAATGACTATAATGAATGTCATGGTAATTTTTCTTTCTTGATTTTTTTTTCTCTTGATTTCTTTCCTGATTTCTGAGTTAAATCTTCTAACACTAATACATGAAACAAACTATTTTGCAACAGGCATGACTCAGCACCTTTGTTCCATGTGACACAATGGCCAAAATGACCAACTCCAGAGGAAGACTTCAGAGTGGCTTATCTTCTCTGCGTACTGAGCTCATCAGGTCAGCCAGCACTCTCTACATGAAACGTCTGTTTGTGAACTATTGATATCCCAATGCTCACTATTTAAATGCTTTCTTTCTTCTTTTCCGTTTCTTTTTTTTTTTTTTTCTTTTTGAGACAGAATCTTGCTCTGTCACCCAGGCTGGAATGCGGTGGCATGATCTTGGGTCACTGCAACCTCCCAGGTTCAACCAATTCTCCTGCCTCAACTTTCTGAGTAGCTGGGATTACAGGCATGTGCCACCACGCCTGGCTAATTTTTGTATTTTTAGTAGAGATGGGGTTTCACCATGTTGGCCAGGCTGGTCTCGAACTCCTGACCTCAAGTGATCTGCCCACCTCTGCTTCCAAAAATGCAGGGATTATAGGCGTGAACTACCACTTATGGCTCTACTGAAATGCTTTCTGAAAGTAGATGCAAATAAAATTTCCAAACCCACAGGGACAAAGCAGGAAGAATAACTCAGCTATGACAATTTCTTCTGTCCATTCACCTTCCGTAGTAGCACCCCTTGGGGAAGGATGAGTGTGTGTCAGGCCAGATGAGAGGAACACCCGCCCTGCGTTAACTTCCCACAATTGCACTCCCATGTAAGAGACAGGTCTGTCCTCTTCTTCCACACGTGTTCTCTGTGGCATACTAACTATCAACTATACTCTTTACCCATTAATTTTCCAAATGTAATACTTTGGAAAAAATATCCAAGTTTTATAACACAAAGAAGCCTACAAGAATCCAGACAAATATCATTTTTATTTTTTTCCTGTGTGTAGACCAGAATATTCTGTAATACAGTCCACTGTAATTTACAGTGCTATCTAGAGCTGGCATAAACTTAAAGGAAAAGAGCCCCAGATATTAAAAATGCAATGGAGAAAATCCCATCTTAAGATATTACTGACTTGCTCCTAATTAAGAAAGGAAATTCCCTACTGTTGATGGTTAATACTGAGTGTCAACTTGATTGAATGAAGGATGCAAAGTACTGATCCTGGGTGTTTCTGTGAGGGTGTTGACTGAATTGAAGGATGCAAAGTACTGATCCTGGGTGTTTCTGTGAGGGTGCTGACTGAATTGAAGGATGTGAAGTACTGATCCTGGGTGTTTCCGTGAGGGTGCTGACTGAATTGAAGGATGTGAAGTACTGATCCTAGGTGTTTCCGTGAGGGTGCTGACTGAATTGAAGGATGTGAAGTACTGATCGTGGGTGTTTCCGTGAGGGTGCTGACTGAATTGAAGGATGCAAAGTACTGATCCTGGGTGTTTCTGTGAGGGTGTTGACTGAATTGAAGGATGTGAAGTACTGATCCTGGGTGTTTCTGTGAGGGTGCTGACTGAATTGAAGGATGTGAAGTACTGATCCTGGGTGTTTCTGTTGTCAAAGGAGACTGACATTTGAGTCCCTGGGCTGGGAAAGGCAGACCCACCCTTAATCTGTGTGTGCACCATCTAATCAGCTGCCAGCGCGGCCAGGATGTAAAGCAGGCAGAAAAATGTGAAAAGAGAGACTGGCCTAGCCTCCCAGCCTACATATTTCTCATGCTGGATGCTTCCTGCCCTCAAACATCAGACTCCCAGTTCTTCAGTTTTGGGACTCAGACTGGCTCTTCTTGTTCCTCAGCCTGCAGACGACCTACTGTGGAACCTTGCAGTCACGTGAGCTAATACTTAATAAACTCCCATATATATTCCATTAGTTCTTTCTCTCTAGAGAACCCTGACTAATAAACCTATCATATACCAAAGATCCCCACTGCTTTGCTTGGCTCTAGTTTCTCACAAGTGACAGAGAGAGGGGAAAGGCTCACAATTTCTAGATGTGGAAGGGATGGGCAGAGACCGATGGTGATGCTGGAAGCAACAGGAGGTGTCCACACTGTAGGTCAAGGACGCCGTGTTTATCTGACAAAGCAACGTTTAGAAACGGGAAGGGTATTTCACAAGCCTCTGGTGGTGTTCGCTATGAGTTACCTTGGAAAACTATGTCTACTGGGTAGAATATTTATTACCTGAGAACCAAGCTGAAAGCTAGGGAGGAAGATTTCATTTTCTTCTCACCCTGTAGTCAGGGAAAAAGTGGGGCAAGTCATTTTCCTTCTCAGTGATTCCCGGTCCTTTTGTGTAAAACAGGGGACAACAATAACAGAACTACCTACAAGGCTCACTTCCTAGAACACGACAGAAACTCTGCACAAGAAAACAGGAAATCCACAAAGCCTGCAGAATGGTAACAACCACCATACATATGTACACATATATATGTATGCACACCGTTTTAGAACGTAAAAACTCTTGAATAAAAATAATCAAACTGGAACCTCAAGATCCAACTGTGAGTAAGAAAGAAGAAGGAATGGGCTGAAGGAGGGCAGTACCCGAGCGAAGGCACACAGCTGGTGAGCCGGGGGCAGAGACCAAGCTCAAGGTCTCAGAAGTCACCTCTTGAGCTGTTTCCACAACACCACATGCTACTCACATTTATTTATTTGGAGACATCTCTCACTCCATCGCCCAGGCTACAGTGCAGTGGCGTGATCTTGGCTCACTGCAACCTCCACCTCCCAGGCTCAAGCTATCCTCCCACCTCAATTTTCCAAGTAGCTAGGACTGCAGGTGCATGCCACTGCACCTAACTTTTTGTATTTTTAGTAAAGACAGGATTTCACCATTTTGCCCAGGCAAGTGTTGAACTCCTGGGCTCAAGTGATCTGCCTGCCTCGGCCTCCCATAGTGCTCGGACTACGGGCATGAGCCATCATGCCTAGCCTACTCATAATCATTTATTTGTAGGTACAATCACCAAAATCATCTCTGTTTTGTGATATTTCTAATTCTACCCCTTTTCTTTTTCTTTTTCTTTTTTTCAAAGCCAGAGTCTCTTGCTGTTGTCCAGCATGGAGTGCAGTGGCATGACTGGAACTCACGGCAGCCTTGAACTCCTGAGCTCAAGGGATCCTCCCGCCTCAGCCTCTCAAAGTGCTGGGACTACAGGCGTGAGCCACCGTGCCTGGCTGATTCTACCCTTTTCATCACTGTGAGTTTCTTGCATCAAGAGGGCTTTGTTTCCCAGAGGCCCAGCACACCGGGTGCCAGGGGGTTGGTTCCACAGACAGGGGTGCCTGCCATCTGTGCCACCAGACAGACACCCACACAGTACAACCAGCCCTCTTCTTGGCCAGCCATCTGCCAACGTGGGGCCCAGCTGGACAACTTCTGGTTTGGTCTAAACTAGGAGAATGTGAAGAACTATTTCCCACCCTTGGCACGAGAATGAAGAACGACCGCTGCAAACTGCTTTGATTCAAAGTCAAAGAGAGACTTACCCACGGCCGCTCCCGCTGAAATCTGCTGCCAGATGGTGTTGTGCTATTCAGGTAATTAGACAGACACCCAGAAAAATTACAATGTGAATATCTTCTGAACGAAAAGTAACCAAATATTAAAGTGTAATTTCAAAAAACCCTAACAACTCACATCGAGACTTTCTTCTAAAACAACAATCTAAATACAGATTCACTGAGAAAAGGGAAGAACACGGCAGGTATCCACACACACAAAAAAGCACAGTGTACCCCTTCATTATTTGGGTGCCAAAGTCTGTTTTAAGGAGGCTGTCAAGAGCTTCCAGTTACTAGTGCTATTCAACACACAGTCACAACAAAGTCCCTACACATCTGATCCAGCGGGGCGCTAAGCTGCATAAACCCACTCATATGCACAAGAAACCACAGAGGGGAAAAAATAAAACAGAGCTCTCACTTTCGAAGGCTGCTGAATTTTAATCTCCTGGGAATCAGACGCCGAGTCTGACTTGGTACCTCCAGAATTTGGTTTCTCCTTTTTTCTCTTCTGCTTCTTCTTTTTCTTTTTGGCTCCCAAATACCCTCCAGGACTTCTGCGGGAAATGCAAAGATGGTGAAACCAACCAACAAACAGAAATTATTAAATGAAATTGATGAAATTGATTGGCATACAATTAATCATTTGGCAACACAGATGTTATATGCTGTGGGAAAAAACTGTGTTAGGATGTAAGTGAGAAATAAAAGGTAGTCGAGTTAAGGCATTAACAGGCCACACAGAAGAATATCGGTCCCCGCTCAGTCATCCTGCAGGTGCTCAGATGTTGCCGAAGCAGAAGACTGAAGAGAAAAACCACATTTTATAACTGAAGTGAAATTGTTGCCACAGTTATCGCTACTCTCCTAATCTACTTTTAAGTCAGCTTTCTGGAGGAGAGATATATAATATAAAAAACTCCATTGTAAAGATCTCTTGGGTACAACAAAACACTAACCTTGAAGTAACAGAACTCAGCAAACTGCTTTTCTGCAGAGGAGGAAATGTTTCCTGATAGAGATTTTTACTAGGAAGGCTAATAATGAAAAGCTCTAAGTGTGTAGCTACAGAGAGAGACCCTGTTTCAAACAAACAAACAAACAAACAAAATACAAAGGGCTAGTTTTGCTATTCAACATCTAGATTATAAAGAAACTTTTCTTTCTACTGGTTATTCATATTTTACAGTAATGAACTTTTCTATTGATTGATTGATTGATTGAGACAGAGTTTCACCATATTGGCCAGGCTGGTCTTGAACTCCTGACCTCGTGATCCACCCCACCTTGGCCTCCCAAAGTGCTGGGATTATAGGTGTGTGCCACTGCGCCTGGCAGTAATGAACTTTTCAATTTAAAATGGACAATTCCTCTGTAAAGTCCAAATATGAAAGGCATGTGTAATAGTGAGAGAAACTGTTTAAGAACTAAGCACTTTGTTGGGGACAGTGGCTCATGCCTGTAATCTCAGCACTTTGGGAGGCTGAGGCCGGTGGATAGCTTGAGCCCAGGAGTTCGAGACCAGCCTGGGCAATAAGAGGAAAACTAGCCTCTAGCAAAAAAACAAAACAAAACAAACCCAAAATAAAAAATTGCCAGGTGTGGTGGTATGCCCCTGAAGTCCCAGCTACTCAGGAGGCTGAGGTAGGAGGATAGCTTGAGCCTGGGAGGCAGAGGTTGCAGTGAGCCAAGATTGTGCCACTGCACGCTAGCATGGGCGACAGAGCTGGGGAAAAAGAAAAAAGAACTAAGCCCTTGAGGTATAGATTCATATTTCTACTCTTATTCTAAAATAGAAAAGAGTGCTTATTTTTGGAGATACATTAAGACCTTGTCAAGTAGTACCCTAGGGGTCTAAAAATAGTAAGGCTTTCCCACCTCACAATGAGCAGTCTATTTTCATCAATAGAATCAAATTTGTGCCATCGTGATGTTTATATTTAAAATTTAAAACCATCTGGTGGCCAAGGACATACATCAATATCTAACTAGCAATCAGACTTAAGCAAACAATTCATAGCTAGGTATGGGAGCTAGAAATACGCCGTAGATACATTCGGTTTCGTCTGTTCTTTGGTTTGGGAGTAGGACTATTTTAGGCTTTCCTCTCTAATGTTCCTGCTGCGGGCACCCTTTGACACCCTGTGAATCGGTGAATCTGTTGTACTGTTACAGTGTGATTTATGTATGCATTTGGATGTGATACTTAAGAAATCTATTCATAATCGCACCCCTAAGGTCTCCAATGCCTCACACCAGTACACACTAATACAAATGCTTGTGGAATGAATGAACGGGTAAGTCTGGCTCTAGAGGTGGCGACATTACATATTCCCAGGCCATAAAATACTTCCAAAAGCTACCATTGTCCCAGCCTCAATGGTAAAGCCTACTGCAACTCACTACCAAGTATTTATTGAACATATACTATGTGTTCAGCATTATCTTGGAGCCAGAGGCTGGGTGGGAGGGACCAAAATCATGGTGGAGACGCCCGTGACTTCGCAACCCAGGCAATTCTCCCTTCCCAATCTCTACCCTTTATTCTAATGCTGCTGGCTGTGCCTTTCTAGAAACCACTAGGAGGCTGGAACTTCTTAGCTCTTCTGTATAATACTTCCATCTTAAAATATCTCCAAATTTCCAGGAAGCTTGGTTACAGAGATGCAGAATAAGAGGCAGTGACTGGTAAGGATGCTTTAAGGTAGATGCCTACCCAACTGGATGAAAATATATTTGTACTGAGTGTAGGTTAATTTTCTCAGCCAGGCATGGTGGCTCATGCCTGTAATCCCAGTGCTTTGGGGAGCCAAGGCGGAAGCACTGCTTGAGCATAGAAGGATAACTTAAGACCAGCCTGAGCAATATAGTGAGACCCTGTCCCTATAAAAAGTAAAAAATTAGCTGGGCATGGTGGTGTGCACCTGTGGTCAGCTACTTGGGAGGCTTAGGTGGGAGGATCACTTGAGCCTGGGAGGCTGCAGTGAGCCATGATCATGCCACTGCACTCCAGCCTGGGCAACAGAATGAGACCCTGTCTCAAAAATAACAACAATATTCTCCTCAACAGATAAAGACAAACTCATAGAAACTTGAGTGGATCTAGAGACATTAAAAAAATTAAAACATGAGACTATTTCTCCAACTATTTCCCCAATTCCTTAATGAGTTTATATCGCCTATTCCATAACTTACAAGACTTGATCAGTGAGGTTTCCTGTTAATTACATTTTGTGAGTTAACTGATGCTACACACAACCTTTTTTTCCCTTCCAAACGGTGTTGCTAAAATTTATTTTCTTATTTTGGCACAATGAAAAAAGCGTCATCATTTTTGTTTACTCTAGTTCAGCAAGAGTTTTTCTTTTTCTCTCTTTCACCTGAACTTTAAATTGACAGGGAGCTACAGAAATGGACACTAAGTTGATTGTCACAGCCTCCAAATTCCCAGACATGTCTGATCGTATTTACACAACGATGAGAAGCAGAGCCTCCCAGCCCTTCAGTGAGGAAGAGCTACTTTTCCATTTCCAGAGGCCACGAAGGAAACAAGAATTTGAGAATAAAGCCGACCAGTGCACTGCATGATACCCATGAGGACAATTATAATCAAAAAGAACTAGTCAGTGTCGGCGAAGATGGAGAGACACTGGAACCCTCATACACTGTTGACAGGAATGGAAAACGGGGCAGCTGCTTTGGAAAACAGCTGACAGTTCCTCAAAACACTGAACACAGATTCCCTGTATAACCTACCCATTACACTCGTAAGTACATAACCAAGAGAAGTGAAAACTTACGTCCACACAGAAACTTGTTCACAAACACTCATAGCAGCATCATTTGTAACAGCCAAAAAGTAGAAACAACACAAATGTCCATCCTCTGATGAACTGAGACAGGAAATATGGCCCATCTATAGGATGGATTATTCAGCAATAAAAAAAATGAAGCACCAATGAACGCCGCAACATGACGGCATGCACCTTGAAAACACTACACTAGGTGAAAGATACCAGTTGTCGAGGACTACGTATTGCATAATTCCATGTCTATAAAATGCACTGATGGGCAACTCCATAAAAACACAAGGTGAGTGGTGGTCAGCGGCTGGGAAGATGGCAGGTTTGGGTATGATGATTACAGGATGTAGGTTTATTTTGAGGGTGATGCAAATGTTCTAAAATTGATTGCAGTGATGGGTGCACAACTCTGCGAATATACTAAAAGCCGCTGAATGGTATGCTTTATTATTTTTTGAGACATTCTCACTTTGTCGCCCAGGCTGGAGGGCAGTAGTGCCATCTCAGCTCACTGCAAACTCTGCTTCCTGGGTTCAAGTGATTTTCCTGCCTCAGCCTCCCAAGTATCTAGGATTACAGGTGTGCACCACCACATCCAGCTAATTTTTGTATTTTTAGTAGAGGCAGGGTTTCACCATGTTGGCCATGCTGATGTCAAACTCCTGACCTCATGTGATCTACGTGCCTCAGC